AAATTTACTATAAACTTTAAGCTCAAGATCCTTTCTAACTTACAAATTAACTTATTTTAAAATTTTGGAGTTAAATATATCGAGAATAGTAAAATAAAATTACTTAAAACAACTTTTTAAAATTTTATAAAAATTAAAGATTTTACTAGTAAAATTTTATGAAAAAAATTTTTACAAATTTTAAAAATGCAATTATATGTAAAATTTTATGCTGAACAAGTTGGCTTAAAAGACAAAAATAGGTTATCTTAGTAAAAAAAACTTGTTATAGAAAAACTTTAAAATTTTACATTTTTTATATATAACTTTTTTTACTAAGATAATCTATTTTTGTTTTCTAAGTGAATTTGTTTAGCACAAAATTTTATATATTTTATATTTTGCCAAATTGCATTTTTTGAACTTTTTACTAAATAAAAAACTAAGTTATAGTTATATAAATTTTTTTTTAAAAGCAAAACTTTTTATATAAATTAATCTAGTTTTTTTTAGTAAAAAGTTCAAAAAACAAAATTTGGCAAGATATAAAATAAGGTAGATATATCTAATTTAGCACAGTATCTAATTTGATGTATAATGATATCTTAAGAAATATTAATCAGAATCGTATAATTCTGGTATCATTCAATTCATCTCTTCAAGATAAATTAAATAATACCAAACTATGCAATTCTGATCGATAGTTTTTGAAATATTCTATTTAACTAAAATAGTCTAAAGTAAATATATTTAATATGATATATCAATCAAAATTACAAGGTTTTGGTACTATTCAATTTGTCTTATCAAGACAAATTAAATAATATCAAAATCTTGTGATTTCAATTGATATACTATATGATATCTATCGTAAATATTTACTTGCATCAAATTAGGCACTACATCAAATTAGAAATATATTTTTTAAACAATCTTTAATAAATAATATCTTATAATTTAGTGATTAGAATTAGATGATTTTGGTACTATTCGATTCATCTTGATAAGACAAATTAAATTATACTAAAGTTATCTAATTTTGGTTAATATATTATATAATATTTATTAAGAACATTAGCTGTGTCAAAATAGACATATCTACCTTATATAAAATTTTGTTCTGAATAAATTCACTCACTTAGAAGACAAAAATAGATTATCTTAGTAAAAAAAAAAGTTTTATATAAAAAACTTAAAATTTTAAAGTTTTTTTTATAACAAACTTTTTTCTACTAAGATAATCTATTTTTGTCTTTTAAGCCAACTTGTTCAGCATAAATTTTATATATAATTGCATTTCAAAATTAGTAAAAAAATTTTTTTATAAAATTTTACTAATTAAATTTTTAATTTTTATAAAATTTTAAAAAGTTGTTTTTAAATAATCTTATTCTACTATTCTTAATATATTTAATCTCAATATCTGAAAATAAGTTAATTTATAAGTTGAAAAAGATCTTAAACTTAAAGTTTATAGTAAATTTATATATTTTTATTATAATTTTTATTATATTAATAGTTATATATTAACAAGTATAATATTTTCTTTGACTAAAATCCAAATAGAAAGAATAATTCAGATTACAAAAGAATTTTTTAAATTTAATAATATATAGATTAATAAGAAAAAATCTAAGCTAATTATATTAAATCTAGTAAAAAAAAACAACTAAAAATTATATTTTGATAACAAATAGTTAGTAGAAGAAGAAAAAATAAGATTATATAATCTTTAGAGATTTGGCTAAATAACAGGCTAGATAAATTACTTGTTAAAACTAAAACAAAAAAGATCATATACTTAATAGCATAAATATTAAACCCAAAAAACTATTAATAGTATAAACAATATATATAAACAATATATATATAGTTTTCAAGTTGTGCTATATATTACAAGTTTCTAAATTCAAGCAAAGAATAATTGACAACCTTCAATTACTGTTATTTGTATTAACAAAAATAAATAAAACTTGCAAAAACTACTAGTAATAGTACAATTCTACATAGAAGTATTAGCAATTATAACTTACTATAAAACTAGCTACTAATAAAACAAATTTTTAATTTATATCTCTGGCTAAATACTTTTGGTCTAGAGAAAATTTTAAATTTCTAAGAATAACTTACAGTATATAGCTAATAAAGATAGCAAAAAATATATAATATAAGAAACCAACAGAAGCCTATACTTGACTATAGAAAAATAATTTAGTATGTCTAACAATACTAAAACCAAAAAGCTAAAAATTATATTCAAGTTTAGCAATATTGAGCTTATAACAGAAAGCAAGAAGTTTAGGTTAGTTATTATTTTTAAAAAAAGTTTACTTTATAGATAGCAAAGTCTTAAAAAAACTAACCTAAATATTACTTAAACAATTGCTAACAAACATAAAAGATTAGCTAATAATCTGGCAATAGTTAAAGACCCTTAGAAATAATTCAAGCAAAAGAAAAAAATAAAATAATTTAGTTAAGAAAAATACAAAAAATTATATAATTTTTTAAAGAAAGAGCTTTCTAATTTATTATATTTTAAAAAAATAAAATCTAATTAGTTAATTTTTATCACAAGAAAGAGAAAAGAGTAGATCTTATAGTAAGCAAAAATTATATAATTTACTGTATAGCTCTAATCGATCTTGAGAAATTTTTTTTAGAATTTTTTTCTAATAAAACATTATTTATAGTATATTTCTGAGTAAAAGATTAAACCTGCATGCTATTTATACTATTATAACTAGAATTACAATTACTATTTATAATTTTATTAGAATATAACTCACTTGAATTAATATATTCATCCTTATACCAATGGCTAGAGATTAATGATAGGTGAAAGTATGTGTTAGAAGATTCAACAAATGTTTTAAAAAAATGTCTGCATATAATACTGTAGGTAATAAGCATAAAACAAGTGTATAAATGCTCTCTATTGTTAAGTAAAATTACATGTTGGTAACATTTAGGATAACCATACTAAAAATTTTTCAAATTTTCAAAAAATTGTTAGGATTGACTATTTGAATTAATGATTGCAAATCAAATTCTTTGCTCTCATCTGCTTCAGCAAGAATTTTGGAATTTTCATTAATTTGTTTATCATAAAATGGTTCAAATAAATCATCATTCAATATTGAAGCTTTTACTATTTGCACTTTATATATATTGTAACAAACAGACTAGCACATTTGTTTATGATATGCATCATGTATTGGCTGTGTGATATAGGTTTTTAAAACCTAATTAATATTGTTAAAAAAAGTTTGTACCACAAATAGTTGTATATATTGCAACATCGATGTTTTTCAAATAGAGTAACTATTATTAATAGGTTCAAATTCAAGATGATTTTCAAGTACTTCCTGAACCTCTAAAAGAGAAAAGCTTGATTGTACAGCCTTTTGTATCAATGTGTTTTTAGACTCAACTTTTTGTGTAGACTGTATTCCTGCCATAAAATGCTGAAATATAAAATATTTAACCTAAATATATTTTTTATTTAGTAAAAGACGTGACAAAAATCAGGTAATTTTTTAGGGAGGAGAGGGATAAAAAATTTAAAATTATATATAAAGACCTGATCAAAATATATAGTAAGAGGGGGAGGGGAGTAAGCCTCTGATAAAAAAAAATCAGATAATAAATGA